AGAAAAACAAGAAGTCAAAGAATGGTCACATGTAAAACATTCGAAAAGAAAGAAGACAACGGTTACTCGACTTTCAACATTAGTATATTATGCAGTTATTTTTGTAATAAATTGTTTCTATATTGAAAAAAAAATTGAAAAAATATATGAAAATTAAAAAAATATTTTTTTTTTTGGAAATCTAAACATGAGGGTGTCTTTATTGTACGTGAATTTGTTTTTTAAGGAGAATTGCAATCCAAAATGTTTATATATAGTTTTGTAGAGAACTCTTCGGGCTATCCGAATATATCCTTACTTTTTCAAAAAGGTTAATTTATAGTAATAATTTATTGAAAATACTTTGCCGAACTATTTTTGTCCAGGGGGATATATAGTCCATTGTCTCAACTGTAAATTTTTTACAATTGAACAAATCAATAATGAACATATCAGTGTTCATAAAAGACGAAAATAATTTATAAGGTTTCATAAAGATAGTTCTCTATTAAATAAGAAAAAATGATTTCAAATCATAGATAAATAACTAAAAATAATACTGAAATAATCATAATCTTTGTTGATAATCGTTTGATTTTAAATTATCAATATCATCCAAGTATATTTTACTTTGACAAACTCTACTACGCGTTTTAATGATAAGTTTTTTACGAAACAGTTATGTTCATAATAAAGGAAATATTGATGAAAGTTTTCTAACCGAATAAATGGTACACATTCACATAGACTTTTCAATTTAGCGCTACATCATTGGTAAAATCGTTTGTTACTATTACGACTGGTTCTTATTTTATGCTGACTATCCGTAAACGAGGCAAAGAAGATTTTTCTTTTTTTTATTGAACACAAATTATTCAGCATAATCCACATATTCCATCTTTAGATTGAATAGTGTCAGATAAGGAAATACAATCGTTGTTGGTGATTTATGCTTTTCTTTTCGTGATTGTTTATTACATGTCAATTTCTCTGTTTTCAGTCAATGTTTAATTTACAATGAAACCTTTTGTACAGGTGCACAAGAAGATTGATCATGTACGAGCCAAGTTGTTACTCTCATCGTCATGCTAACAAAGAACGGGGGTAGATATGCGAGCAAAATCAGCCTTATTTGAAAATTATAGGAAAACCCCGCTAATTTGTACCCCCTTTCTGTATTATTCGAATAGATACCGACGCCGTTTTTTATGCATAGATAGCTCTTAGCATGCCCTAAAAAATTATAAAGAGACGAGGGTTCAAAATGCTTGGGCAATACCTTTTCATAAAATCACAATGGCATTTCTATACCGAACACATTGTGGCTTTATGAAAAGGTATTGCCCAAGCATTTCAAATCCTTGTGTCTTTGCAACTTTTTAGGACATACCAAGAGCTATCTTTGCCCAAAAAATGGCGCCGGTGTCTGTTCGAATAATAGAGAAAAGGGGTACACATTTCCAATAGGTCCGATTTTGCTAGCATCTCCACCCCCATCCTTTAGCATATGACCTACTCATAATGAGCAAAGACTGGACTATTCAAATGAGAAGATATTTCCAGTATATGTAATATGCCCGCAACGTGAAATTTCAGCAGTATTTATTAAATTTTTTCATAATGGTTGGATACAGCTCGTCGAGTAACAGAGGGAAAAGAAATTTTCATGAAAGTCAGAATTTTAGGTCTATTTTGCTTTTATACTTTTTCTTATGTAATTCCACAAAAATCTATTCCAACATAACGAAAAATGAAAAATAAATACTGTTGAAACTTCGCATTGCGAACATAATTAAATATATCTTATATACATTGCATTCTCTCTACTGTATCAACTCGTACCATCGATATCCCCAATATGTGGTGTGTATTCTATCCATCGTAAATGTATCCTCTGGATCGCCACCACATTCGGAATACATCGGATCCGCTTTTTTCCCTTGGATAAAGGTATATTTTTAACGTAAGCTATACAGGTAAAGGAAATTTTTTTTTCTTGTTCAAACTATGGTATTGCTTAACAGAACTGATAATGAATAGTCTATGAAAGATCCCGCACAGATTAATTATCACGTCCGTATGTTGGAAAAGACGAATACAAATTTTGATTTGCTGTACCATCAGATGATGCTTTTTCATTTTTGCTGCAGTAGATACACAAGTATATCCGTCTAACACATCTCGTTTCAATGGTTTTATCTAAAGAGTATAGTTATGCGTATAATATTCTTTTTCTTTACATGAAGAACAAGAGAAGAGTCTAACCACTTACTACTACATAAAACGAATGCTTTATTCTCTATACAGATACAGAAAAAAAACTTCTTTTCTTTATTCCTACAGCAGTAGACACACAAGGATAGCCGTCCAATGTATCTTGTTTCAATGGGTTTATCTAAAAGGTATAGCCATGCGTTTAGTATTCTTTTTCTTTCTCTCATTTACTTGCATTTTTCTTTACATGAAGAACAAGAGCAGAGTTCTATCACGCACTACTACATAAACGAATGCTTTATTCTTTATACAGGTATTGAAAAAGAATTTTCCGGAATCATTATGTTCGTTTTTTGAAGCAAAGTGACAATGAGCACGCTATGGCTTGAAATCAATCAGTTGTAAGTACCTTTTTGTGCAACTTCCCCATGCAACTATGTCTAATGTGGGAATTTTGAGCTGAAAATCTCAAACCAGTAAGTTCAATATTATGTCTGAGTCTTTGCAAATCGCGAAAGTACGTTCTCAAATGCTCACAACCGCTTCAGTTTTCTGAGAAATTCTTTTAAATTAAAACTTATTTAAAAAAAAGAGACACAATACAAGACTTCCCTAAAAGTAAATTTTACGTTTGAACATAATAGAAGACCTAGGATCTTTTATTGTGATGGGGAGGGGGGAACAATTTTTTTTGGGATAAATCTACATTTCTGTTACTGCATCATTCGCTTTCTTTTTTTATTTATATTATGGAAGGACGGAGAGTAGGTTTGCCTTGGAATTCATTATAGATGAATAGTTTAACGGTTTCTTATGGTGGAAAATAAAATATGGAAACGTTTGTCCCACATTGGTAGAGATATCTTTAGTTTGCTATTACTTCTGAACGCTAATATGCTTTAATTGTATGTTTGGGTGTCGGATGTAAGTGTGAGTGTACCTTTCTGAAAACCCACACCCACATCTCTAGAAATGGTACGATTTTTTTGCATAGAGGCTTGATGATGCATGCGAAAACTTTACTAACTATAATAAATTTTAAATAAATACCATCCTATAGTTTTTATAAGATTGAAAATGAAATTCTTGTCTTTATATACTAATCTCAATAGCTGATCATTATCTTTATAAATCATACTTTTTTCTACAACAAATAATTGTGTTTTTACCATCAGTTTTTATCGTTCCTAATGGATACTCGTATTTAACACACTCTTTTTGTTTATGTTCTGTTTCTCTAAACTTGTACACAAAGTTGGAACTTCAATGCCTCACTTTGTTGAAGCTATTTTTGGTGAGCTATATAATTAATCATCATCATGTGATTGATAATTTTGTTTTTAAAATATAAAACTACTGGTAATTTGTTTTTGCAATAGCATCCTTATATCTATTTTAACGTAACTAAAAATGAAACATAGTCAACACAGAAAAATTTATGAACTATATATGGTATTACTATTTAACATTTTCCTTTATTCAAATGTCATAACAGTGTATATGTCTTTTAATCATCGCTGACATCAACATGAAACGAAGAAAAAGCTATTTTTGAAATATAAATCATAGATACTAAACGATTATGTTGTGCCAAAAAAGCAACATTTATGAAATGATAGGCAAAAAAAGTATGTGTGCTCGAATGTGAATTGCTGTATCTTTTAGTAAGTCGTATTCATGCTAATCATTTGTCAAGTGACGTAAATATGTGACATATAGAGAGAGTGACAATGTGATAAACAGGTGATCGAAAAAAATTTAGTATTTGCTTCTATTGTAATGTTAAATCGATTAAGTTTCCATTGCTTAGAGGGGAAATCTAACTCGAAAAAGTGAACTACATTATATGCATTTAGTTGATTTTTGTAATTAAGAACGCTTCATAAATTTAATAAAGGCCTGGAATGTGTAAGCTGGGCATGGCCAATCGTTACGGAATTTCATTTTTTCAACTTTTATGATTTATATCTTTGTAGCGATAGGAATAAATGTTTAGAAATTTTTACTAAAGGTAGAGTTCGTCGTGACTTACCATCACAATAAAGTTCTTTCAATTTCGTTGAAGTCCAGCAAAGTTATAGGGAAAACACAGGTCGTTACGGAATTTCATAAAATGGAAATTTTTTTTAGGGGCACTTAAAACTTTGCATATTGCTACGAAACACGACGACATAGAGAAAACACTAAATACAAAAGTTATGTAGTCGTCCATGAACTCTTAGAATATGGTCATGCTTGACGATCAAAATGATAGCATTAAATAAAAATCTAAAAGTAGCACTCGTTACGGAATTTCATTCGTTACGGAATTTCGGTCATTTTTCTCGATATTTTAATATGAAAGTTCTATAACTCAAATGTTCAACAGATTATGAATTAAATGTAACTATATTCCGATTTGTGATTTGTTGAACCACGTATTTTACTGATTTAATTTCAAATATCTTTTATTAATATACGTAGTTCAGGTTCACATAATTTTTTCAAGTAAATAAAAACAAAAACGAACAGTATAAAAGAATGTCTATCAAAAACGAACAATTTGTTTTTTTGAACTAAATGAAAAAACTTTACATTCAACTTTGTTAGCATCAATAACAGCTATTGAATGTATCTTTTGAATTTCTGGAATAGGTTTTGTTTCCATAAATAATAACGAAAGTTTATTTCTAACATTTTCAATATCATCTGCTACTACTTCATGAACAATTATAGATGTTTTTTTGCTCTTAATCAAACCAACGAAATCATGTGCATCTTTACATTTCTGTCCGACCATAACATCTTGAAAGACCATTCTTTTCACGGTACCACCTATCCCATCAACTACACCTCAAAATAGTCCATGAAAAAATTTTTTATAATTATATCTCAATCCAATTCAGACCGATGCGGATAAGAAAAATGAATCTTAGAAAAACTATGTTTTATTTATTTCTAACGCTTTCAATGTTCTACTTTAGTGGCACTTACCTTTTCCGTGACTAGTAGCAAAAAAATGCCACGATAATGAAATCCTAAATTCATTAGCCAATATAGATACATATTTAATTGAATATCTATTTTTGAACTGGGAAGAACTACCATCACTAAATATTAATATTTCTTCTAATGACGGTATTAAAGATTTTAATAGTTCAAAAATATATTTTAAGCATGTTGCAACAGTCCATTTATTATGTGATATGTCATTTGAGACTATGGCTATTGGATAAGTGTATGGTTGTGTCCATACGTGTGCAGTAAAAACAGATAATTGTTTCTTTGACCAATATAAACTTTGAATTTGATTTTGTTTAACGACCGAATAATTTTCGGCATAGTCGACTTGTAACAAACATCGTTTGTCAGTCACATTTTGTTTAACCGATTCGAAATATTGAAATTGTTGCCTTTTTATAAAAACATGAAATAAAAATGTTTAATTTTGGCCGATAAAATATTAACACATTCAAGATCTGTTCCATTATAATCAGCTTTTAATGTTTGGTGTGTTGCTGATGTTGACCACAACGTCCATTTAATAATACGTGTCTTGTCAATAATTTTATTTTCAACATTGTCTTTGAAAAACCCAGCACATTTATCACACTTGCTAAACATACATGATTCACGATTATCATCGCAGACAAGCAATTTGATGAATGATTGTAAATTAATTGATGTAAAGTCCTGAATATGTTCATTTAATGCTGTAATGAGTAAATTAATATTCTCATGATAATTACAAACACATATATTGTGTGGCATTGACGATCTATAAAAGACGTTTGGCGGTCGTAATTCTTGAAAAGAAGAACGTCCAATCTTATGTTGTGGATATTCGTCGATAAACAATTGATAAACTTCTCGTAATGAAAATAATAAGAAACGCTTTTGTATTGTCTGTTTTATACCATCTATTTTGATTGTAATTGAATCTTTTCGTCCTGGTGCTTGATAACTAATGTCGTCTCGACAATAAAAATTAATAACTTCATTTTGTGTAGACATTGAAATACAATTTTGAACACGTTCGTGTTTCTTCTTCATATCCAAAATACCTAGATCTTCAGCCATGTGAGTAATTAATTCAATTTGTTTGTTCTTGTTGACTGGTAATGCATTAGTGATTTTCCGTAGTGCTTTTCCTTTTATTTGTTTTGTTTCAAAAGATGATTTAAACGATGGTTTGTATGTGACATTGTTTAATTTTGAACGAAATTTTA